ATTAGATAAATGCTGGTTATAGAAAGATTTCCTTTATATACTATGAATAGCAAAGCTTTTCTAAAAGCACATGGTTAAACCATGGAAAACTGCTCACAAAGAATTGCCCAGTGTTTAAGAGTTTGACAGTTTTGAGTTTAATATCTTTCTACCTATGCTCTTGCTAGTCGTCATATTAAAAAAAAAAGTATATATATATTGCTGGGGCTTTTCTTATAAGCAAATCTGAGGGTACAGCCCCACATTGTGGACATTGGAATTGACATAGAAATGTTGGGGGAGCATATATCCGTATCATCTATATCTATAACTATCTATATATCTATATCTATCTATACCTATATATATCATTTGTATCTATATCTATACCTATCTATATATATATAATCAATATCTATATCTAATCTATAGCTAATCTATATCTATATCTATATCTATATCTATATCTATCTGTCTATTCTTGTGTTACAGCTTTTGTTATTTCCTCATTTAAATTATAAACACTTAGAATCTGAATTACTTGGGAGAATTCTGTTTCGAGGGGCATGGTAAAAGGAGTAGATAATAATGGAAAGGTAAGTAAGTAATCAGACAATATAGCTTCACAGAGCAGGGTACTACTGAGTGTGAATGGAAAATCATGATTAGTTGTGAGGGTTGGAAAAAGAATGAAAAGAAGACCGGGACAGGTGAGGGAAAAGAGCTGATTCAAATGAGCAGACAGGCTAGATAATTAAGATCTATTTTAAAAATCAGGCATTACTGTGATCATTTACTCTTTTGTGTAGTTGTGTGTTATATCTGGAATTTAGTAAAAAAATCTGAAAGCCCTTTGAAATGGAGAATTATCTCCCTAATTCTAAGCAAAAATAAGAAAATAAGCGAAGAGATCAGTTACATGCTAGTGCTATCAGCTATAATTCAGTTATAAGAGTAAGAATTAAAAACATGGTTGTTTACCAGGAAATGACCCAATATTGGCTTTTGCCTTGAATGCTGCACATGCATGTGAGGTGCACAATGCTGTGTTCTGCTGACTAAACTGTAGAGTTTAGGGCTTTGCACCTTACCTGTTGAAAAAGTGATCTGACCCTCACAAGAAGTGCACCTCAACCTCCATTTCCTCCTCATCACTTGAAAACAACGTAAGAAGGGTGTCTTTTCAAGCACCATTTTAAAGGGAAAATAATGCTATGGATAAGTGAGCAGAACTGTTGTAATATTTCAATTCTTTAAGTAAGTGCATTTCAACAAAAAAAACCCTTAGGAAAATTAGGGGAGCTTGAAGGCAGTAAACGCGAAAGCCAATTCTTCAGCGAGCACGTGTCCTTTCTGTCCTAGATGTACCACTTTAAGGTCAGCTCCATATTTATTCTTTATCCATTTAATTCCCTGTTGCTGGGGATCTATCATCAGAGGTCAGCACTCACAGTTTGTTAGAATAGTGGCATTTTCTGCTGACAGCCTATCACCCTCGTTACTCGACGCCACAGCCGGAGCATCATCTGTCAACGTGGCAATTGGGTCCAGGCCCTCCGCCACAGGAAAAGGAGCCCTAGAATCACAGCGCAATATAATCAGCCAGCAACGTTACAAAGAGGCACCACATGACTCAGTGAAATGCACAGGATAACTGGGGGGATATAAATTAAAGTAAGGCAGAAAAGTAAGGAGGATCCCTGTGGAGTTTCAGATGAAAAGAAAGTGACGAGAAGCAGTTTATCATATTTATAACAGATTTTTTAAAAGTGTTTTCTCTTAAGACACTTACTTCATAAAAATATTTATAGTTCAATAAAGTTAAAAATGCATCATATATTATACATCTCAGTGTAGTCTGATATTGCAAATTCAATGCTTATGTATGCTCTTGAGCACCTATTTCTGGAACATAAATCAGTATTTATCCACAAAATTATGAAAGCAGGATTCCCATGGCATCTTATTAGTACAGCTCAGCCACCCTCAAAAGCCAGAGAATGGGGCCATCTCTGGGGGCAGAGGCAGGAGTGGGGCTCCCTGTGGGGCAGCAACTGCAGCCAAGCTGTGCTGTGAGTGTCCCTTCACCAAGGGGGGCTGTCAGAGCAGCCAGCTCACAGCCACGCTTGCTGGGTCCCTCACAGGTAAGGAGATGGAGTGGAATGTCTGAAATCAGTGCTCAGCAAACAGGTAGGGGTGGAGGGAGAAAAGCCTAATGCAGCACAACAGAATAAGAGAGAGTGAATAAATAGGTTGTTTGGAACAAGCAAGAGGGGCTGGTGGAAGCATCATAGTAGAGCTACACCAGATGCATGGAATTAATTTTTTTCCTTACTGTAGCAAAGGGCAAACCCCCACCAGTTCCTTCATGGTGTTATTCCAGGCTTCCTTATTAGTGATTTTTGGATTGAATTCAAAAGCCTTAAATAAAGGACAGCACTGCATCATCAGTATTAAGCCTGAATTATCTTGTCCCCCATTCAGAAATATCTCAAAAACTCTTCCATCAAAATTTTCCTTCTCCCTGGACATGTCTAGTCCTCATTGCTGGCTTTTAGACTGACACTTCTTCTAACAGTGTGCACTGAAACCAAAAACCAACCCCCATGTATACCTGACAGTTGTTTATAATGAAAAGCATTACATTTATTTGAGCCAAATTTGCAAAATTGTTAATAATAAGAAGGGCACCATGCCCCTAGTGCAGCTTCTGTGGCACAGTTACCATAGTATTACAGAACACATACCACCTTAAATTGCCTAACTCTTGGTTCTGATCTCTGAGCCCAAAATAAACCTAACTTTTGATGCATGCTCTGAAAATGCAAGCACAAGGGTCCCAGCAGGCATACACTCCCCTCTGCAAGCGAGCAACTTATCTATCTCCCATGTGTAACACATTCATCTAAATATATCAAACGACTGAAAACATAATTTGTTTTATCTCTGGACTGTAAGACAACCAATACAATAATTTCCATGAGCTGAAATACTTCCTTGTGAAAAACAATACCACTGGGGTATTATCAGGATTCCTAATATTAATTTTCACACAATGCCAGAAAAATATCAGAGTATATAGGTATGTCTATTGTCACTGTATCTGCACAAAGCTGATACTTAATGACATAGAACTACTTGCTGTTCCTTCTATAGAGGACTATTAATAAACACCTATTTTACATAACTTTTCAAGTGTATTTGTCTCTAATTTTCCACTCTTCCTCACTTGCAGGAAAACAATCAAAACTGAAATGAGGTATTTTGTCTCACTGCTTCTCAGTGAAAGCATCTTATAAAGTAAAACATCACAGTATGGTTTATTTTTATTCATAAAAATGTTCAATCCAGTTCAGAAGAGTCTTAAAAGAGTTAAGAATGACATTTAGTTCCAGTCCTACTATTGAAAATATATGAGGCAATTTTTTCTACCTAGGCTGCAAGGTAGAAGGAAGTTTCTGAGAAAGGATTTTGATCTGCAAGCAGGTTTTTGGTGGAAAAGGACAGGAGAGGTTCCAGGTAAAGCAGAGCTCTAGACAAATTAGTGACTGTCAAACTCTAGCACAAAGCAAATGTCTACAATGAGATGTCCCCACAGCTCCGAGTGCTGACCTTGGAAACTCAGATTTAGATTTAACTGTATTTCCAGAGGGTCCTCATAACCCAGCTCACCTGCTGTGTCATAGATCTATGATTGAAAATGAGGTAAGTGCTGCCCATTTCACATATTTTTGAGAATAAATGACATTAATAATTATATAATATACATAAGAAATAGGAAACACATAGGAGCATTTGCACTAAGGAAGAAAAGAATGGTCCAAAGCTTCAAAAGTAAGGAGAGAGAAGGTTTTGCAGAGACAGCTGCAAGGATTGGAACTTCTATGCATTTAGTGAGTACTATCATGATTTCTTCTATGTGCAGAAAAATGGGGATGATCATAACTACATGCTTTTCCTGGAGCTGACAAGCTAAGCAGAATAGGTCTCTGTACAGTTCTATCATTTTTACAGCACTTGCTGTTACAAAGGTGTCACAAAGAACAGGCTTTGGCATTGAGAATTGGAAAGGGAACGGATATTCTTCTGCCAGAGTACATCTCTCTTTTTCATTTCCCTCAAAAGATACCTGTAATCTGAGGAAAGCATGCCTGTGTGCACACACACTGTGTGTATATATATATATGTAAGTGCATGTATATACATAGCCTGCAGAACAAATACCTTCAGTGAGTTATATTTGTTTATACACATCTGTATTTCAGATTTTACCTTTTTGTACCTTTAGAGAAGGAATCCAGAAAAGTCCCTTTGCCTCCTGGTGATATTGTTTTATGAAGGATCCAAAGCAAGACACAAATGCTGCTGTCAATAAGATGTTACCACATAAAAATTTTCTTCTGTGCTTTGAGGTTTTCAATGGACTGTCTCCAACAGGTTTTTGGACTGCAAAGCAAAATTAGAAAATGTTATCTCTTGAGCACCATGGAAGTGACAGAATGTTTAATCTCTGTGTTATTAACCAGAAGCACACAAAAGTACAACAGGAGAAGAACTCCATCCACAAGAGATACGCTTCCAAAGACTGCAAAGGCTGGAAACAATCCAGAATTTCTGGCGGTGACTTGAAACCTTTGAAGCTGTAAACAATAGGACAGAACACTTTGTCAAATGTTCTGTCTACTGATTTTTTCAGTAATTGGTGCTTTTGTCTAGATCAGATACAGCATGGTGGACACACTTCAATATTGGCAGCATCTGGTGTCCTACTGCCAGTGCAAGCATTTCCAGCAACATTCAGAAAATCTAAGGAAACAAGAATATTAGAAGACAAAAGAAGAAGAAGAAGAAGCTGTTTCAACCTCAATAAAGATGTCACCTCTATTTTTTTTTCACGCTTTTTTCCAAGGGGAGGAGAAAGGCAGCAGAGTTGGTATCCCTGCCAGTGGCAGGGGGTTTAGAACTTAGATGGTTCTTCAGGGTCCTTTCAAACCCAAAATTCTGTGAAGACCTGCAAGGTTTTTTGCACTTATTTATCTTTCTTCTTTTACCTACTACCTTACATCTTACTCAGCTAAAGCTGCAATGATTTGGAATTTTGACAGGAGAAAAGATGAGGGTGGCCAAACATACAGGCTGCCCAGAGAGGCTGTGGAATATCCATGGTCCTGGACAACCTGGTCTAACCAATCCTGTTTGATCAATGAGGATGGACTAGAACATCTCAGAAGGTTCCCTCCAGCTGCAATGATTCTGTCAAAGTTTAACTCTAGAACAACTTTATGAATTATTTTTTTGTTGCTGTTTTTTTTCCTACAGAGAGTCCTGGTTTCCCTTGTTCTTTCGCAGAGCTCATTTTTAACCTGGGATATTTAGAATGAATAGTCAGGAGTGGCCTCAGATCTTGATGATTTATTGCAAGCAGATATGTGGAAAGCTGTTATTTTATTCCAGTTATGTGTTAAGGACAGCACACCATCTAGCTGAAATTTAAGCTGGTTACTAAAACATTTCAGAAAATTAAAGCATCTTCTTTAAAGATAATGAACACTTAAGATATGGATCCTCTCTTTTCAGTCATGATTTGTGACATGGCATAAACCCCAAACTAGCAGTTTTGGCACATTATGCTTTGATTGTTCTGTGTGTACAATTCCCAGTAAAGGAATGAACGTATGCATAAATGCATGCTCAAATAACTTTGGCACAGAGAGGAAGGTGAAAAGTGATCACTCGTTAGAGTCATCTTCAAATGGATAAAAATCTAGGTGTAAGATAGGAATAAAGTGTCATAACCTTTCCTCTTTGTACAGTTTGAAATGCTGCAGATAAAATAGTTTCATAGTTTGTTTGCTTGCATTAGGGAAACCCCAGGAAATCATTCTCCAGTGAGTGAAGCAGAGAAAAGACCAGGATGAGAGAAGGAAAACACCTCAGAATTACTTATAAGGACAGCCATTTACACTCTGCCATACAGACAATTGTTTTTCAGAGCAATGATAGTAAGCAAATAATATTTTTCCAGTCCTTTACATGATGTAATCTAAATCAATGAAAAATCTCTGAATGGAAAATATCCTCTATGTAATTTGATACTAAATGTTTTTTTTTTTTCTGGTGCCATCTGCTTAAGAGCTTAAAAGAAAACTTTTAAATGTGGTCATTTTTGAAAGCTGCACAGATTATAAAATCAATCTCAAATAACAACTGACTCTCATTTAAAAAAATAATTTTGTATGTGTAAAAGACCAAAGCAATAAAATAATTGTTAAATTTTATATTCATGAAGCATTTTCCACTTACATTTTCCAGAAAAATCAGAATTACTTACTGAAATAGGTAAACATTCAATCCTAGGATGACAGACACTGAATTCAATGATAACAGAAGACTCAAAGTCTTTTGTTATGAAAGAGGAATATAGAAGACCCACTAAGAAAGTAGAAGTATCTTTAATAAAAGTATGCTGCTTAAAAGAGCTAGCATGTTTATGTTTCACAGTATAAATACAGGAATTTGGGGTGTGAAGGCCTCCTAAACCCCAGTTCCATCCATAAGAGATGCCCAACGACTGACAAGTAAAGGATCATTCCTGTTAAAATTTCTAACAGCAACGTTTGCAATGTAGCAGTTTTGCTTTGAAGCATTTTAGACATCCATTTTTGCCTAGAGAAGTCATTGGATTTTTCTTTAAATCATTAACTGAGGGCAACAAGACAATAAATCCTTTCATTTACAAGAGGGCTTTTTGATTTATCCATTCTCTCTTCTTGTCACTGATGGGTAAGTCATAAACAATAAAGAGCACCCACCTCATTCTCCAAAATAGCTTTGAAATTTGAAGATTTGCTAAACATAGAATGATTGTCTATTTAAATCTTCAGTAATTTTACCATACCAGCCAAGCACCATAAATCACTAGTGACATTGGCTAACAAGGGTTTAAGAGTTGGAACATGCAGTGTAATAAATTTCCAGACAGTTAAAAATCACTATAATTTTATTCTAATGCATTATAGATTGCCTGTAATGTCATCCTGGCTGGGGTGACCCATTTCTAATTTTGAACAGCTGTTCAGCTCGGGAGTTAGTTAATGATTAAATATAAATTGCCTGATTTATTAGTCTGAATGGCTGAGCTTCCAGGTCAATGCTATATAGACAAAATCATCAGTCTTGATGCTTTTCAGAAGTTAACTGTCTCCTGTTCTAGTCAAAAAGAATTTATTCTCAGAGGAAAAGACTTGACATTCTCAATTAATCCTTTCCAATATTTTCCCCCTTAACTTACACAATAAGATCACTAATAAAACCTCAAATTTTGGAGATAAACTTCCTTTAATTATGTGTAAATCTTCAAGAGCTGGAGACCAACTATGGGCTAAGGCTCCTGACTTGCATAGAGATTCCAAAAGCTTTGGAGGGCTGCAAGGCCAGGCTAGTAGGGACCATCTCAGGTGTCTTGGGGCAAACAAAAGTTTTCATATGCAGATAGTAACATCAGCTTCACTGCTTTTCTATCAGAGGAAAGATTATTTACATATTTTACATTTCTAGCATAGTAATTTTAGAATTAGAGAAAATATATATATATTCTGTTTTAATTGCATTGGGGTTTTTTGATTAGTTTTATGCTCATACAATATTTTTTTCCAAACTGATTTAATATTGATTGCTAGCCTCTGCTGAGATATTTGCAGAAACAAAAGTATCCACACTTTGACCTTAGACAGAAAGGTCGCAGGGATTTTAAGAAATCCAACTTAAAATATTTATTCAGACTGCCTTGGGAGCTCATGTCATAGTGTAAATATTTCTTGTACCTTCTATTTCCTGTCATATACACTTATTTGTCAAAAAAGGAGCTGCTAAAATTCCAGATGATGAATTGAGACAGAAAATTTCTGTAAAGACCTAGGAGAGGCTGCTCAGCAATGCTGTAGCTGACTCCAATGGTTCTGTTAAGTAGGCATGCGGTAGCTTTAATGATGTTTGTCTGCAAATAAAGCTAATAATCACACTGAAATATATATAATTTTAACATAAATACATTTCATTCTTATTTAAAAATTATTAGTTTCTGTAAAAAACCAAAAGCAAATAGCAAATATCTGACGGGTGCCTTCCACTTATTTGCAATCTAAAGTGCAACAAGGGCAGATGCAGGGCGGCTCCATCCTGACCTAGAGAATTATTCAGTCTTTCTGCTCATTAACCAGAGGCTGCCCAGGCTGTCACAATGTGTTCACAGTTATGTATAAATGTGGTGACTTCGTTATTGAGATTTCTCTCTAGCAATCTTGCCAATATCAGTTTCTCAGCAATACTTGATTTTTAGGAAATACAATTGTGGTGCAGCACGTTTTATTTCATGCCATTTTATTGAGAGTTTATTTGTGGTTTGGGGTTGTTAGGTTGGCTCTTGTTTTTTAGGTTAAAGGATTTCTAATAATTGTCATCTTGTCACCTTCATCCTCCCCTGTGCTCCCTCCACCTATTTTCCCCACACGATCTTCAAGTGTTCAGGCCTAGCCTCCTGTTCAACAAAAAAAATTTCAACAATTAAAAAACTCACACTGAGATGAACATTCATGCAAAATCTTTTTAGATGGGTCACTTAGCCAACCTGTTGGCTAGCCCAGTAATTTTGTTTATTCTGTTTACATCATCTTGACATAGGACTGTTTCTCCAACTGCTTTCTCCAGTGAAGATGTGAGCTTATGCAGGAAAGGGATGGGTAAATAGCATAGCTAAGATTTGTTGTTTGGAGGTTTTGTTTGTTTTTTAAAAGTATCATTATTTTTATATCAAATAATATATTTTAATGACAATAATTGTAAGCAGTAGCTTTAACTTTGAGGGACAAAAACTTCAGAGGAAATGTTTTGCTAAATTCTGTGTTTTATCCTACAGCTCCTTGAACACCGTAAGTACATTAACTAACAATTTAAACAAAAACAAAATGCAAGACAGAATTATTATTTTCATTTTGCATATGAGCAAATATGCAGAGCCTGGAGACACAAAAACATTCAGTAATTTGCTCATGGGCAGATTTTCTGCATTCTGATCTGCACCTTCAACCACACTTCTCTGCACTCTGCTCAGAAGGCAGCAACATCCCTGGCTTTGCGTTCAGGGTCTCACACTGCATGCTGGCCTCAAAACAAGTTGCCTCAAACCAATTTCTTTCTCTAGAGTAACATACAGAGCTAAGTGACTTCCACTCGAGGGCAAAATTTTCCTATGTGGGGTTTAATGAAAGAACAGCAGCAGGAGCAAGTTGTGCATAACTCTACAAAAGCTGGTTTTTACCATTTTCTTGCAGGATCAGAGATTTGGATCTCTTCTGTCAAGTTTGAGGCTTGAATTGGTGGTGTGCAACCAGGAAATTTATTATAAATTTAAAATAAGAAAATTATTGGCAAAGGGGAAAATGCATCTT